CAATTACTTAGAATATAAAAAGAATAATCGACAATTAACCCCTCTTGTACTTTCATTCTCACCACACCACTTGTGACTCCGAAAACTAATCCAACTTTCATCCTTTACCCTGAATGTAATGCAGCTACTGAAATCCTTCCCTTCATGATGCTCCTCCATATTCCATGCTTAGATGAAAGTGTGTTATTTCTAGTCATCCATCTCCCATCCACAGTCCATACGTTTCCGCTATCATCTCCCTCCATAATGTCTGCTCCTCCTTCGTGAATCTCCATAATAATATCCCTAGCAGAGCTTTGTCAAATACTCTAAGATCGTTCATCCTTCCCTAAAACCTCATTCTTCTCCACTTCTAGGTTTCTAGTCCAAGCTGTAATTGTAAACTCCTATTGTCTTACCTCCATCTTCCTCTCATCTTGTAATAGTAGGATTTCTCGCATTCCTATTTACGGGAATTGAATCATACTTAATCCACCTCTTTCACCCCACACGCTTCTTACAAATGTATTCGTCATGAAATTCAGTTTAGTTTTTTGAAGACACTATATCCGCTTCCCATTCTTTATCTCCCGCCTTGACGATGACCATTTTGTTAGGTGCATTCATCTTCTCACATTCTAAAATAAGATCTTAACATCCATGGATGATATCTTTATCCTTTTCCCCTCAGTTTCTTCAATCCATTTGTCTCCCTCAAAGGAGTCTTCTCCCATTCACCACTATATCACCACTTCCTTCTCGTGCTTCCCCCAATATCCTTTTTTACCCCACCCATCTCTCGTCTCTCTCATCATGGCTATCTCATTTTAACTCTTGTTCTATGTTAGTTAACAATACGATAAAACTATCTTCCTTTCTCACCTAAGAACCTTCCAAATATTCTTCCAAACCTAAGTATTTTTCCTTATTAATTTTTTCAACCTCCTCCACCTATCAATGATTGCTAACAGTTAGTGTATCTTCCGCCACTTTCATATTTTCACCCTGTTCGGAGCATCCAACAATCACATGCACGGCATTTTTCGGTGCCAATGTCAAAAGAATCTCTTTGCTAGTTTGTTTTTTAGTTTGGTGTCACTGTCACCACCTTGGTCCCCTTTGAGAACATTTCCTCTAGTTTCTGGGGCCTTTGGGACAATACGAATGGTTCCAAATGCATGTAGACCCTTTTTCGTGCTAAAAGGCCGAGCAAAGGAGCCATAGTGCAGGTGTATTGGCCCTTTCTAAGTTCGACTCCACCCACCCTGTTTTCGTTAGATTGGAGGTCGCCAAAAGTTGTTTTATAAGCCATCTGCTTCATCGGATGTATAAGGGCAGAAAGCAAGAGCCTCTCCCCTTCCAATGTATTATGTAAACTTTTTATATGTGGCTCTAGACTCGAGTTCAAGCCTTTTGATTGTTGCATCATTGCCCTCTAATCGTTTTTCGATGTCAAAAATAGAGTTTTCCGACATCATGACCACCTAGGCGATAACACTGCTTTGATCCGATGGTTCTTTCCACAAGACTGGCTGTGGAATATACAATCCAATAAACCGATTCTAATTTTTCTCCTAACAAGTTCACTAGTTCAAGAGCAAATCCATACTTTGAACACCTTATCATTTTCCTTCTTTCTATCATGACGAATTGTCTGTCAGCAATCCCTCTTCCTTAGTCGTTTTCATCTACACCATCATTTTCTCTGGTGCAACCTCCTCTCTGTTAAGCGTTCCATATTGGTTGAAGGACATGTTGTTATCTACTTATAAGGTCTTAGATAATCTTCACCTCATGAACAAGATTTTAAGGTTGACTGATTAAGTTAGGCACAAGGTTCATTTTTCAACACAATATTGGAGCAAGACCCATCCAAATTCTTCGTTCACCTAATGTTGGGCCCCCATGTTATATTTTCCATGGTCTAGATGTTCTTCTACTGAGCGTGCAGATGTGTGTTAGGTATCCTGTATTGGTTGAAGGAGTAGATTCTTATCTCTTTATATGGTGAGCAATCCGCGCAAGGACCATTTTCTTCATAGTTTCCCTTTCATAATAGCCTTTTCCTGCCCCTCTTTGTCTCTCTTCCCTCCCTCCTTATTTCCCCAATCATGTCCTCATTTACCGGGCTTTAGGGATAAATTCTAGTGTTAACCACACCCTGAAACTCATGTCACCCCTCCACACCATAGACATTGGTTGCACACTTTCCTCTTTTTAACTGACCGCCTAACTCTAGTTGTAAGTTAAACTCCACATCAACAAAACCTTCACATAACTTCCCTACCTTTCTAAGCTGGTGATGTTCACGACCACTACCCCCTTATTACTTCTTTGTTTTCACAACATGTGCTCTCAAGCCACCTTCCAAGGAGTAGGGAATTACCACATCCACTTCAATCCATCACCCGGTACACACATAACTTACACCTTGTTGACAAATGGAAAGGGAAGGTGGAGTGATTAACACGTCTTTACGAACTCCTTCCTTCTCAAAATGTGTTTCCCAGATAACCTGAATCCAGGTTCTTGCCTGCTGTCCACTTTTCTACATTTCTCGATAAAGATCAAAGCTGGGCACACCTTGTACGATTGGTTGTTAATATTTCTAGGTACTAGAAAGGAGGAGTCGTTGTCTAAAAGCCATTCTCATACAATATGTAAGTCGACTAAGGAATTGTTTTTTCTTCACTAAACCAAAGTGGTTATCAACAAATTTAGTCATTGAAAATAAGAACACAACTAAAAATATTTCATCCAACAATCACCTCCTTACATAAGAGAGGAGTGAGAGTTAAAGAAAATATTAGGCATGTTCGCACATTTCAACAAAGAAAAATCCAATAATCACGAAAAAGATGAACTTTGTTCAAATGGTTTTCGCATAGTAGCTTAATAATATGCGGAAAAGAGCCATGAACAAGTATTCTTAAACCCACTAGTAGCTTAACAAGTATTCTAATCGTTTTTAAGTTAATGATTTCTAAATTAATAATTTATACATATTCAATGGATTTTCTAAGACAAATACAGGGTTCAAATCAAAGCTAGTGGATTCGACTGAACCCGTTTCCCGCACTCTAGCTCCGCCCCTACCCCTAGATGCAAGAGCATGTACTAAGAAGAACAGTGACTTAAATAAATAGATTGAATATAAAGATTGAAGAGCGCTTAAAATTTAAACAAAGTTTGAATCTGTTCCAGACTCTAGAGAAAGTATTAGGACTAGTTTGACATTTGCTCAATCTCATATTATGTTTTCTCTAGGAAGGTATTAGAGATGCGTAGATAGTTAGATATGGCTCGAGTTTTACTAACAAATCAACCAATCCAAACATAAAACAAACTTCATGTACTCTGGTTTTCTTGATTTTTTAGGCTTTTTAATTTTTTTAGAAATCCACTGTGTTGTGCATTTGATATTGCTCAAACTAAGGGTGCGTTTGGTACGAAGGAAAATATTTTTCTTCATTCCCATGTTTGGTTGGCTTATATTTTTCACATGAACTCATTTTCCTTCAATTGGAGGAAAAATATTTTCCCTGGGAAAATATTTTTCAAAACTCTTTTTCAACCTTCTCCACCATATT